TGCCCTTACTACAGAGGCATTCATTAATGAAAGGGTTAACCTTTGAAAGGGTTAACCTTTTTCAGACACCCGATACCTGAAGATCGGGTGTCTGAGAGTCACAGCAGAGGCTTTTGCGGCATTCTGACAGCTCGTATAGATCGAGAGAGATCTCTCTCAAGCTATACTGGCTTTTTTTTTCTTTCACTTTCAGGAATAGATCCATAATGTGTCTATTCCTGAAAGAAGAATGTTTGTTTCAGTTTTCTAATCGTTGTTGGAACAATCAGAAAACCTTTAGTGACAGCTGAATCCTGAACTGCTGCAGGATCAGTGTCACTAACTTATTATCGGCTGTTCTGAAGTTTGAAGCAGCCTGATAATAACCAAAAATTTATTAATTTATCATGCAGTAACAGTGAGATTAATTCACAAAATCTGCTTGATATAATTAAATAAATAAAATAACATTTTTAAGTTAAAAAAAAAGTGAAAAGTGTAAAAAAAAAAAAAAATTGTGAAAAGTGTAAAAAAAATAAAAAAATGTGTAAAAAATAAAATAAAATAAGGGACAAATAAATGAATGTATTTATTGCATTTTTTTAGCTGTGCTGGTTTTGTAAAAAAAATACTACAAATCAAAACTGGGAAAAAGGTGTTTTTTTTAACGTTTTTTCCTCTTTTTTTTATATTTTATTTGTCCTAAGTGAGGCGTTAGACGCACATATGTGATATAAATATGTAGCCCTATCTGTCCTCTAAAAAACAATATATAATATGTGTGGGTGCACTTTGTAAGAAAGTATATTACTGACGTGGAAGAATCACACAGCAAAAATGTCAAAAGTGTGTCAGTCATTTACGAACAGAAACTAAAAACAAGCTCAGTCATGAAGGGGTTAAGTTCATGAAAGGTCCAATTGAAGCTTGTCTGTGTACTCTACAGGAGAAGTTGAAGTATTTCCCAGTATATGTCGGCTCCAGGGCTCATGAGGGAGAGGGGGCAGAGGAAGGACTGGGCAGTCTACCTCGAAACATCAATTCTGCCAGCTCTCTGCTACTCTTCAACACAACTGAGAATCTGTGAGTAGGGGTGAATTATAAGGGATGAGGGCTGGAAAGAGTTCAAGAGGGGTGAGCAAAAAGGACAAAGATGTAGATGTTCATTGTGTTGGATGTACCAAATGCTGATAATCTTGTATATTGTTCATTAGGTACACATCTTAATTGTGCAGGCCTAAACACTAACCACCCGGTGTTGGCATATTAAAAAGAACCTATTGACAGGTTATAGCCATATAAGTATTAGGCTGACAGGCTGCTGAGTCACTGCTGGTTGGTGAAGTAGTGGGGCTAAGCTGCTTAGTCATTCCTGGGAGGGGGAGCAGGGAGGTGAGCTGTGAAGTCGCTGCTGGGAGGGGGAGCTGAGCTGCCGTGTCGCTGCTGAGAGGGACTACAGGTGCCAGTTAGGGCTTGTTTTAAAGCTCATTTACAGCTTGTTAAGAACCTGCCCACAGGTTCACTTGTAGGCTGCAGCAACAGCTCAGAATTCTAAACTTAGCAACGCCATCATGTGTCCCTCCTATATTTACTATGTCCATATAAATTACCCTCTTTACCCCAGTTCCATCTTGTTTGCAGCTATAGGAAATACGTGTTTCTGGACCCCTTGGCCGGTGTGGTCACTCGCACTAACCAGGTGGCCGAGGGAGAGGATGGGGATCGGCTATTTGATGCGCCCTTTTCTATCACCAAGAGAGAACAATCGGAACGACTGGTAAGTCTAGTATATACAATATAAAGGTGAGTGGTGTATAAATAAACTGGTATGTAAATCTTACATATTTCTGGTTTATTCACAGACAGCAGAGAATTATTTCTATGTCCCAGACCTGGGCCAAGTCCCAGAGATCGATGTCCCGTATTACCTGCCAGACCTGCCCGGCGTGGCCGATGATCTCATGTACAGTGCTGACCTTGGCCCTGGCATTGCTCCGTCAGGTCCAGGAGGTCCTATACCCGAGCTTCCGACCTTTAGCACCGAGGTCATAGAACCTTCCAAGATCGGTATGGGAAAATGTACTACATTTCAGCTCTGATGTGTGCTCATGTTAAAGTTCTAGTCCACTGTAAAATAATATCCAAATTTCAGATGGAATATAGAGTAGCTGAGTAACTCATTGGTTACTTATGTCTTGAGAATTGTAGCATAGAGATCTCCCAGCTCTCTGGCGTCTCAATGCTACAACAAAGGTGTTCCCATCCACCTTCGTGAGTCCAGCTCCTCCTTTTACATTCTCCCTTATATAAAAAAAAAAGTCCAGCAGGAATTGTGGGAGCCCCCATAATAGGCACAGCAGAAGTGCAGACCTGGGAACTCAGCGCAGAGATCTCACCGGTAGTTTGAGAGATTGATGAGATGGTTAAAGAGTTTAACTTTCCAACACAGTGGTGGACAAACCTCTTAGGGCTAGTTCATACCAGCCACAGAGCATTCCGGCCCGATTCTGGATCGCATTGCGGCCGGCTCACTATGTTGTGGGGAACTCAATGCCACCGTAGCCACGCCCTCCAGCCACAATGGTATCGGCCGCACGGGAACGCAAGGCACATCGATGCCTGCGGTCCGGTCAGAAAAAAATGCTGCAAGCACTATCTTTTTCTGACCGGACCGGAACGCAGGGATTGATGTGCCTTGCATCCCCGTGCGGCCGATTGCATTGAGTTCAATGCACAGCCACACCATCTCCCGCCCCAAAACAGTGAGCCGGCCAAAATGTGATCCAGTGCGTTCTGGCCAGAATCATGCCGGAATGCACTGTGGCTGGTGTGAACTAGCCCTAAGAGGTTTGTCCACCACCGTGTTGGAAAGATAAACTGTGTTGTATGTTACATACTCAAGAGAGCTACCCTCTGTAGACTGTGCTGCGTAGTACATCATGCACACTCTTCAATCCTTACACTCTGCTGTACGTTCTATATTCCAGACAGCTGCCATTTGTATACTGTGCTGTACGTTACATACTGACTTTTTTGGCTGCTGTTAGCAGAGGAGTAGTAGTAAAGGTTTCTCTACTGTATAGTGACTTGCTAGCCACAGCAAACATAGATGGGCAAACCCTCCGTGCGTCCACATACTGAAAGCTACCAAAGTGTTAGCGATCGGTTGAGACTGCTTTAACAGTTTGTACTCTCTTATGACATTTAACACTTTGAATGTAAATTGGCCTCATAAAATAACGCCTATGCAGTACAGGAAAATCAATCGTGAGATTTTTTTGTACTTGCTGTAAAATTGATTTCTTGGCGCTCATTGAGGGACACAGGAATTGGTTTTCTTGATTTGTACATCACAGAGCACGTTGAGGGGAATTTATCAACACTGGAGCAGACAAAATCTAGAGCAGTTGCCCATTGCAACCAATCAGCTGCTCAGCTAAGATTTGAAAATGAAAGGTGGATGCTGATTGGTTGCCATCGACCCAATGAATGGGTTATGCAGCTACCTTCAGGTTTTTGGACACTGGCAAATCAATCAAAGCTGTGAGCCAGCCCTGTATAACCCCCTCCTACTCTCAGCCGGCTAGAGTCATTAGGTGACGGACACCACCTCTCTGCTCTGAGAGAAGTACATCCCTTCTTGCTGTTTCTTTCTTCAAAATATTTTTCTAGCAAGGTTTCCCTAGTTCTGCTGACAACCATTACAGCACCTAACAGCACAAATCCAAATCAGTTTTCTCCTCGCCAGAGCCTCGGCGGTCCATACCTGGATTAACCTTGGATGTTTAAGTGACCAGCATTGCCAATTCAGTTGCCGAGTGTGGTGAGGGCTTGTCCCTACTGACGTATCCAGTTCGCACCTTCCCCCCTGTGGATCACTTAATTGGGTCTCCAGCAGAAGTGCAATCACTGTTCCCCTCTAAATTGAGATTGGCGCCTTTCCGTGGGGCTCATCAGTGGCCTGGGAAACTGCAAATCGCTTGCACATCCTCTATTTGGGAATCCCTACTGCGCATGTGCCCAACATTTTTCTTTCTGGCACATGCTGTACTGGCCACAGAGATTGCACCTGCTGCAATCAGCACTGCAAGGAAGTCTAAAGTTGCCCATACACTTTACAACCCTCGCAAGACACTTGCAACCCTCGTAAAGTACTTTAAAAAAAACGTACGATCTGCCCATCTTGGACTGGCAGATCGTACCTGCGATCATCGCAAGCCCGCCCCCCTGAGGGGCGGGCTTCCGATGACTGCAATGCTGAACGGCAGTGTGCGCACACCGGCCCGTTTGGCAGTGATCTCTCGATCATGTTAAAAGCCAGCCGAAAATCGTCCGATTAACATGCTCGATATACAAAAGACGTGCGACCTTACATTAGAAACGGTTGCACGCCTTCCGTATACTGCACGATTCTCGTACGCTGGTGGGATTTCCCGCGATTCTCGTACGAGAATCGTGCAGTGTATGGGCACCGTAAAACTCTACCACTGCTGCATTGGATTACTTCAGCTGCACACAATGTTTGCTCACCAGGCATCCTCCTCTATTGTGAGTACAGGGGTCTCTGCTCCCTCAGGCCTGTGTCGGATCATAGGCTCAGGGATACATGGGTGTCAGGCTCTAGGGCCTCGCAGCATAACAATCATTCTGAGGAGTTCTGTCCCTTCAGGGGATATGGTTTCTCCTAGCCCTTCACACCTTATCTCAGAGTCTTCCTCAATTCCCTTCTCTACCCTGATTTACTGATGTAATGGTGGAATTTTTGGGGAAAATGTCTGTGTCCCCAGACAGGAGGGGCAAATGTGGGATCCCTGTCCTTCCCTTGCAGAGTCTCCCACTGACCTTCCACTCTCTGCTTGTGCACTCCCTGAGGAAGACGAAGATAAGAAGAAGGAGCTACTTTCAGTTCTGTGGGCTCAGCCCTGGAAGAAGACTTGTTTCCTGACATTTCTTCCAAGCTCAAGGACACCAACTCTGTCCTTGTGGACACGATGCGAGATAGTTTACAGTTAGCCATCTGCATCAACCTTACCAAACGAAGGTCACAAGTCAGTACCAGGGCCAGATTAACATAGGGGTTACTGGAGCCCAGCTCCAGGCCCACCACAGAAAATAGGCCAGGCTTGCCTCAGTATGCTCGGGCTGAACACAATCAGGCAGAGGCGCCAGCGGCTCTCTAATCGGGCATATTAGGTGGCCCCAGCGAGCAGCTGCCTAATTAGAGAGCCGCTCTGCGACAGCACCAGGCCCATGATGCTCTTAATCCGCCCCTGGTTAGTACTAGCACTATGATTGAAATTATTTATCTCAGGGCTTGGCAGATAGACTGGGTGTCACGCTTGGGCTTGGATTTTGAGGGTGAGGCCTGGGAGTATTGAAACTCTTCTTTGCTCTGGGCTTTTTGGGTACTTTTGTCCATGGTGATTTCCTGGAAAATCTCCCGGCGGGAGGCACAGGTAAACGAGCCCCATAGAGGTCTATGGGGCTTTACTGCACAGGCATGGCAGACGGTGCGAGGGGTCAGGTGCGGGATGTAAACAATCCCTGTAGGCCACGGGTGCTGGATCTCGATAAGTATAAATCTAAGAAGGGTGAGGATGGGCTCTGTGACATTGGGGGAGGGGGCAGATTAAAAGTGCACTTTTCTATGACCGTATACTTATTCTGTAAAGAGACTTAACCCTCAGTGTTAACCCCTTGCACAGTAAACCGATGGAAAGCAGGGATTTCATATGGTGACCACTGGCCCAAGTAATGAGTGCTCTGCCTGCATGGTCTGTTTGCAAAGGGAGTATTCAGAGACGGTCACTCCTGTGGCTGTGCCACAAGTGTGGTCCCAGGCAGTACTAGGCAGCTAACCCAATACACTCGGGTGTGGAAAGCCCCGCAATGCAGAGCTCAGTGTCTGAAGGCTAGCCCCGCAATAGTCCAGTCCAGCTTCAGTAGGTCCAGGAATCTCCAATCTAGATAGCTTCTTATAGAAACCAGATCGAGCAGCTTGTAGGGAATCCTAACTGAAGCAGAAAGTGTTTCTCTGCCAGTGCCCATATCCTCCTGTACGTGACAGAAGTATTACCCAACAGTCTCTGAGTTCCTTTGTCCCTAAATGAAAGAGAAAGAAACCCCTTTTTTTATTGGGGAACACAATTTGTTTATAGGGCCCCTATGTGTCTATCAGTCATACATATGTGGAAAAATAAACAAAACCAGCTGTTGAATTCTATTACTTCTGCTCTGTATGTCTCCTGCCGATCCAGGAACATTGCTTCCACATTACAATAGGATGTTCCCATTATTCTGCTGTAGGCTGATTGTGCTGAGCAAAGACACAATGCTGTGTTCAGGTCGTCACACTGGACTGTATATAAGCTGTTTTTTCAGTGTGGATAGAGAAGGTGAAAGTGTGAATTGGTTGTAAGAACTGATTTAAAGTGTAAGTAACCCTAACAAAGAACTTCTCTTATTTCATCCCTTTTGGTCTGTTAAATATGTCATTAAAAGTGTTTTAGTATATCTGTGCCTGAGAAGTACAAACATGTACATTGTAATCCTGCCACACATCTTGTGAGCTGATAACTTCCTGTGTTCTTTGCCTGTTCTGCACTCTATCTGTACATTGTTCCCAGCCCTCTCCGTGGACTACAGAACAACTTATCTCTATGTTGTTGAGAAGGGAGGGGTTCTGTAGTCACAGTATTGCTCTTCCATAGATAGTGTATTGAGTGAGTGTTGTCACTCTTGGATAGGAAGTGTGTTACTGGTAAAAACACCGGATGAACATAAAGGGGGGAAACGCCTGAAAAAAACTAAATGCAGACACCGTATTAAAGGACTGGTACCCTGCTATATAATATATTTTACTTTTGATAAGCCTTAAACAACTTCTCGCTTTCCACTAGATTGAAGGACAAGAGCAACAAAATAAATGTTATTCTATATTATTTACAGATGCGCAAGATGGACCGCTCCTCCCACCACCACCTCCTCCTCCCCCGCCCCCTCCACCACCCACTCCACCTTCTTTGGCACCACCCGCACCACCGCCAACACTGCCGATTATCGGAGCGCCTGTGCCCACAGGAGCAGACAGCAAGAATGGCAATCCTGGTAAGAGAAAGCAGACTTCAAAGAGGGCCTGTCATGTGTACACTGCAGAGGCAGCTGTATGTTTTCTGATCGGCCAACATAAGGCCTTACTAGGAATTTTTGCAACCTTGCTGATTCCTAGTGACCTGACTGGTTGAGTTCATGCTGAGGGTCTGTCAGCTGCCTCTTCTAAATCCTTTCTATTCTCTTGCTCTAGCTGTGGTCCAGGAAGCACCAAATAAAGTGGTCAAACCATCAGACGGCAGGGCGTCCCTGTTGGAGTCCATTCGCCAGGCGGGAGGAATTGGAAAAGCCAATCTACGCAACGTGAAGGAGAAGAAGCTGGAGAAAAAGAAGATGAAAGAGCAAGAACAAGGTTGGTGCTGCATCCAAAGTGACAGCCACTTTCTGAGGGCACGGCTCACAGCTTACTTCAAGTCGGGAGATTAGAGGCGTTGAGTGTAACTGGCAGGCTGGTACCTGTCGGGTGCCAAACACAGCCTGGGCTTACTCTTGGCTGCTGGGATTTGGCAGAAGATCCCTCTCTGTACACATCTGCCAGTCACTGATAACGTTTGTGGGGCTGCGAGGTGTGCACAGTGCGCCGATGTGTGTCTCAGCTGTGAAATGAAATCACCGCCATTACTCCAGTGTCCAGCAGAGGGCACCAATGGGAGCAGACACTGGTAACCTGCCAAAGTTTAGTTACCAATACTGCAACTGCAGGGCAAATTGTTTGTGGCCCCCGAATGGATGTTGCATTGTATCTTTTTCAAAATGAGGGCCGATTTATCCATGTGCGGCCAATTTTTCATCAGTTTTGCATTATTTCTCACTGAATACCTTTTTTTTTTTTGTTTTTATCGATCTGTTGTTAAACGTCTCCACTGTCAGTATTTTATGGCTGGCTTTGTCTCCATTGGAGAATCCGCTTCCAAGGATTAGCTCAGGTGCGGAAAAAACTGGTTCGCATCTGAGCGCCTCCGAAAAGGGAAGGAAGTTCCTTTTGCTGCTGCCCAATTAGCTGCAGCTGGGGAATTCCTTGCCCGCAGCTGCATGTAAGCAAAGAGGTGGAATGCAGTGACATCATTGACCTTGTATAGCCACATGGCTATATTTGGTCAATGACATTGAATATGACCATTTGGCCAAATAAGGTCAGTGATGTCAGCACAGTCATCCTTCTCCTCCTTTGTTTATCTGCAGCTCCAGGCCAGAGAATGCCCCAGCACGCAGCTGATTGGGCAAGTGGGCCCTCCTCATTGGCCCCTTCAGTCTATCATGAATGCAGCTGCTAGACTCATCCACCTGGCCAACTGCTCAGTGTCTGCTGCCCCCCTCTGCCAATCCCTACCCTGGCTTCTATCCCCCGCCCCCCTCTGCCGATCCCTGTACTGGCTTCCAATAGCCCAAAGGATAAAATTCAAAATATTAACAATCAGTTACAAAGCCGTCCACAACTCCGCCCCCGGCTATATCCCAAACCTTGTCTCAAAGTACCACCTTAACCGTCCCCTCCGCTCATCCCAAGACCTCCTGCTTTCCAGCTCCCTTGTCAACGCCTCCCATGCTCGCCTCCAGGACTTCTCTAGAGTCTCTCCCATCCTCTGGAACTCTTTAACCCCAACCTGTCTGTCTATCTCCCACCTTGACTGCCTTTAGGTGTTCCCTAAAGACTCATCTCTTCAGGGAAGCCTATCCCACCTCAACCTAACCACTGAACTATCACATTCTCAAACAATTCATCCCCACACAGCTACCTCCTCATGTATCACTTGCCCCTCCCTTCTAGATTGTAAGCTCTCAGGGGCAGGGCCCTCCTTACCATCTTGTCTTGAATTGTATTGTGATTGTAATGTCTTCCTTATATTGTAAAGCGCAGCGCAAACTGTTGGCACTATAAAAATCCTGTATAATAATAACAATAATAATAATAATGTATCTTCCGGATTCAGAGGCGCTCAGGTTGGGACTGACTGGAAATGGACTTTAACCACATGCAATATTCAAGCCCAGAGGAAGGCAGAGTGTTTTGAAATGCACCGGCTATTTTATGCAATCATACGATAAATCGTAAAAGCAACTTGGGCTCTTTCACCATATGTTCTGCTGCTCCTGTTGTGTTTGAGTCACATTCTGAATACCCACCAAAGGGGGAGCTTTGCCTTGTGTGAGCAGCCTCACCAAAGCTTGTCAAATCCTTATTTTCTCTGTTTTATTGAACGAATACATTTTGATGTTCCAGCATATTGGATATGTCTTTTTGGAGCAATAAAAACCTGACGGGGACTTTGAGACTTTTCTACTTCACCCATTGCTAAAATACAATATTGCCTTTCATGCACTTTATTAGGCCCGACCAGAGTAGAAAAACAAAACAAGCTTGTGAAGTGGATGGCCATATCAGCCAGTAGTAATATGCCACGTTTAGGTGGAGTCCTCTGAGTTACCACCACCATCTGAAACTAGAGGTGCACCGAAATAGAGATGTAAAAACCGAAATAGAAAAATTTGTCAGGCCGAAACCGAAAAATGTTTTTTTAATTTATTTAAAAAAAAAAAAGTTTATTAATTTTTTACTTTACTTTCAGGGGCTTTGCGGAAATATTGGGGGTCTAAACAGACCCCCTTATATTTCCTTTTAAAATAGAAAAATTGATAGACTCTGTGTTCTCAATCTCTTTTTCTGTATCCTCTGTTATCAATGAACAGGAATCCTCTAAATGTTCCTGTTCATTGATAACTTGAGAATATAGTATGTTTACTAGAATTACAATTATGAATGGACAGGAGTGGCTATAGATCACTTCCCATTCATTCATAATTGAGGATATATTAACCCCTTCGTGACGGGAGACGTACACTGTATGTCCCGCCACAAAGGGACCAAATGACTCGTCACGTACACTGTACGTGCCAAGTTATTTGCTGCATTAGAGGGCTGGTAACTGCTGAGAATCAGCGGTTACCATTCATTAATGGATGCCTCCAGTATAGAGCATTTTTTTTTTTTTTAGCTGTGCTGGTTTTGTAAAAAATACTACAAATCAAAACTGGGAAAAAGTGTTTTTTTTAAAACATTTTTTCCTCCTTTTTTTTATATTTTATTTGTCCTAAGTGAGGCGTTAGACACACATATGTGATATAAATATGTAGCCCTATCTGTCCTCTAAAAAACAATATATAATATGTGTGGCTGCACTTTGTAAGAAAGTATATTACCGACGTGGAAGAATCATACAGCAAAAATGTCAAAAGTGTGTCAGTCATTTACGAACAGAAAGTAAAAACAAGCTCAGTCATGAAGGGGTTAACCATACCATATCCTCAATTATCTACAAACACTCCGCTTTGTAGCCTGTTCTCCTCTCTGACACATGCTGTCACAGGAGGCTGAGCGAGCGGTGCAAGAGGAGAGCTCAGCCTCCTGTGACAGCGCTGCCTCCGCCCCCACACCGCTCTGCCGCATTGCGATAGGCGGCCGAGCGGTGTGGGAGGAGAGACACCTGCCGCTAACAGCGATTTCTTTCTCTCCTCCCCGCTGGGACACAGAGCAGCGCCCAGTGGGGAGGAGAGTAAGCAGGGATGTGCCAATGTATCGGCAGGAAAATGGCACTTTCGGCATTTAGCCAAAAGTGCCATTTGCGGCCGATATGTTTCGGCGGCCGATATATCGGTGCATCCCTAATTAAACCAAATATCTATCATTTAAATCAGCAGTGGCAGCCCTCATAAATTTTCTCAAAGGCACTTTTAGCGTGTTTATTTGGAGTGCACTATAGAGATACCAGTGTTAATGCTGGCGGATGAGACTTTCACACATGCATGCTACACAAATGGCTGTATTGTCTACGGTCATTTCTATCCTAAGACTAAGATCTACCCAGAATCCCCTTCAGTAGAATTTTTTTGGGTAAATTGTAGCTGGAAATCTGAAAGTTCCATACGAGTTATGTTGTTAATATAGACGGATACTATGACTTCGGCTTCAAAATCTCTTCTCTCTTCCAGTGATCGCCACAGTAGGAGGAGGAGATCTTATGTCCGATTTGTTTAATAAGCTGGCGATGAGGAGGAAAGGTAAGATTTTCCCATCTCCCGGGAGCTCTGTGTGCTGGGACATTTTTTCTACAGTTAT